GGGGATCCTGGGCTTTGCTGGCTGCCTGGTCCCTTGAAGCTCCCTGGAGCTGCCCTCCTGCTCCTCCACCTCCCACCTGCTCTGTTGAGCTGACTGTCTGCCCTGGTCCCCTGAGCTCCCGGAGCTGCCCCTGCTCCTCCAACCCCACCCTGCTCTATTCACCTGGGATAGCTCTGCCCTGGATCCCTGAGCTCCCCGCTGCTCCTCCTGCCTCCCACCTGCTCTATTCACCTGGGACTGCTCTGCCCTGGACCCCTGAGCTCCCCCCTGCTCCTCCAGCCTCCCACCTGCTCTATTCACCTGGGACTGCTCTGACCTGGTCCCCTGAGCTCCCCCCTGCTCCTCCAGCCTTCCACCTGCTCTATTCACCTGGGACTGCTCTGCCCTGCTCCCCTGAGCTCCCGGGAGCTGCCCCTGCTCCTCCAGCCTCCCACTTGCTCTATTCACCTGGGACTGCTCTGACCTGGTCCCCTGAGCTCCCGGGAGCTGCCCCTGCTCCTCCAACCTCCCACCTGCTCTATTGACCTGGGACTGCTCTGCCCTGGTCCCCTGAACTCCTGGGAGCTGCCCCTGCTCCTCCAACCTCCCACCTGCTCTGTTGAGCTGGGACTCCTCTGCCCTGGTCCCCTGAGCTCCCGGGAGCTGCCCCTGCTCCTCCAACCTCCCACCTGCTCTATTCACCTGGGATAGCTCTGCCCTGGATCCCTGAGCTCCCCCCTGCTCCTCCAGCCTCCCACCTGCTCTATTCACCTGGGACTGCTCTGCCCTGGTCCCCTGAGCTCCCGGGAGCTGTCCCTGCTCCTCCTGCTTTCCACCTGCTCTGTTTACCTGGGACTGCTCTGCTCTGGTCCCCTGAGCTCCCTGGAGCTTCCCTTGCTCCTCCAGGCTCCCACCTGCTCTATTCACCTGGGACTGCTCTGTCCTGGTCCCCTGAGCTCCCGGGAGCTGCTCCCTGCTCCTCCTGCCTCCCAGCTGCTGTATTCACCTGGGACTGCTCTGCCCTAGTCCCTGGAGCTCCCGGGAGCTGCCCCCCCACTCCTCCAGCCTCCCACCTGCTCTGTTTAACTGGGACAGCTCTGCCTTGGTCCCCTGAGCTTCTGGGAGGTGCCCCTGCTCCCCTAGCCTCCCACCTGCTCTATTCACCTGGGACAGCTCTGCCTTGGTCCCCTGAGCTCCCTGGAGCTGCCCCCTGCTCCTCCTGCCTCCCACTTGCTCTGTTGAGCTGGGACTGCTCTGCCCTGCTTCCCTTAGCTCCCTGGAGCTGCCCCCTGCTCCTCCTGCCTCCCACCTGCTCTGTTGAGCTAGGACTGCTCTGCCCTGGTCCCCTGAGTTCCCAGGACCTGCCACCTGCTCCGCCAGCCTCTCACCTGCTCCGTTTACCTGGGACTGCTCTGCCGTGTTTCCTGAGATCCCAGGAACTACCCCCTGCTCCTCCCGCCTCTCACCTGCTCTGTTGAGCTCAGACTTCTCTTCCCTGCTGCCCTGAGCTCCCGGGAGCTGCCCCTTCCTCCTCCTGCCTCCCCCCTGCTCTGTTTAGCTTGACCTACTCTACCCTGGTCCTCTGAGCTCCTGGCAGCTGCCTCCTTCTCCTTGTGCCATCCACCTGCTGTTTACCTGGGACTGCTCTGCCCTGGTCCCCTGAGCTTCAGCAATGCCCCCAGTTCCTCCTGTGGTTCCCAACAGCCTCTGCCAACTTGGCCTCCACTCATGGCCTCATTTCTTTCCTGCTTGTCTTGCTCCTGGACCCACAGGCAGCTCTCTCTGCAGCCAGCTTTCCCGAGCAGAGCCCCTTGCCCCTGCCCTGGTTCCTTCCCACGCGCTCCTGGTCCCTGGGTCTCACCCCTCCTCTGCCACCCAGCTCTGGAAGCCTCTTCTGGACTCTTGCTCCTCCAATCCTGTGGCTCTGCTTGGTCAGGTGCCCCAGCCTGTCAGGCCCTCACAGCCTCCCCCAGCCCCCAGGCCTGGGCTCTCGGCCCCTCCTCTGTGCTCCTGGTCCCCGTTCTCCTGCCCACCCAGCCCTGGCAGCCAGCTCTGAGCCCGGCGCTGGCGCTGCCCTGCCTGGCTCCCTGGTCCTGCCACTGCCTGCTCACCTTGGGGCCTTCCTGCTCTGCTCCTGGCACTGGCTGCAGCCGAGGACCCCGCGACCCTCACCTGTGACCCTGCTCCGGCCGGCTGCTGTGGCCTAGACAGGCCCTGTGGTCATCCGGTTCTGTTCTCCTGCCCCCGCACTGCACCCTCGGTTCAGGCCGAGCTGCCCATCCTGGCAGCCCTGCGTCTGCTCAGCTCCTGCAGGCACAGCTGGGCCTGTCCTTCCAGCCTCCTCGAGGCCCGGCCCGGCGGTTCCTGCGACCCACTCACCAAGTTGGGGCTGTTCGTGGGGGCGCCAGAGCCCTTCCTGCGCTGGCCCCGGCCCATGTGGCTCTTCCTGGCCTTTGCTCTGGGGCTGCTGCCTGGGTCCCTCCCAGAGGGCAGCTCCGGTCCCCAGAGGTGTGAACTCCACCCCGCCCCCTCCAGCAGACTAAGAACGGGATTGAAACTGGCAGCTCGGTGACTTCCTAAAGTTCCCTTTTCTTCTGTTGTTTTCTGTGTCAGAGGGCTTGGGGTGGGGGCAGACGTGGCAGAGGCCCTGGCATGTGGGTGACCCCCATACCCAGGGGAGAAAGCGGGAAGTCCGGATACCACGTGCTCTCTTGGCACCCTGCCTGCCAGTCCCTGGGGCCGGCTGGGCTCAGGCCTCATAGACCTGGGTGCTCATCTGAGCCCTCCGCCCCCAGCGTGGTGGCTGCTGCTCCCTGGTCCCTCTGTCCCCAGCTCTCCTTCGTGCAGGGAAGAGGACAGTGTGAGCTACCACTGAGCGTCTGGCCAAGGACAGCTGGATGGACAAGGGGGAGGTGGGGACTCAGGGGGCTCCCAGGCAGGACCGGGCCTGGCCCCGCAGGGAACAGGTGCAGCCGCGGGCAGGACGGTCTCTGGGGCTGGGGCTCTGGAAGGAAGAAGACAAGTTTCATTCTTGGCCCAGGGGCTTCTGCTCTGCTCCTGGGGTGAGGGGACGTGGGACAGGATTGGAGCATGCCAGCACAGAGTGGGGGTGGCACACGGTGGAGACACAGCAGTGAGGGCACAGAGGGTCCTGGTCGAGGCCTGAGCAGGGGCTTCCAGCACCTGAGGTGCAGGGAGGGAAAGAGTCCTGCTGGGGTCCCTTAGCTTCCTGGGGGGGGGGAGGTGTACCTGACCTGCACCGAGGGCCCAGGGCGGCTGGGCCAGCACCAGAGAGAGAAAAGGGCCTCCCTGGGCCTGGGGTGCTGGCACAGGGCAGGGAGGGAAGGGTCGAGGGCAGGTGAAAGGTGCTACCTGTGCTGGGGGTGGGGGGCTGTGCCCAGCTCAGCAGGGACCCGCCAGGAGGGGGCTGTGGAGACAGGGAGCCCCGGACAGGCGGCCGGCAAGGCCAGGCAAAGGGCAGGATGGGGTGGAGGTGGGAGAGGAGCAGGCCAGAGCGTCTCCCAGATCCCAAGGCCGAGAGGCCTGTGCAGGAAGCACCCAGGATGGCGTGTTGGGGAGGGCTCCTGCATGGGCCTAGGAGGAGGCCACTTCCGGTGCTGAAGGGGAGCCTGGCGCTGGCTCTGGGCCACCTGTCATGGGGTGTCCTGGGGCCTCTGGCTGTGCGTTGTGCCCTTCCCACTCGATGTGCACTCCACGAGGACAGGGCCCGGCCCATGGCATCCCTGCTGGACCTCAGACACCTGAGCTGGCCCTCCCAGGCTAAGGGCACTGCGTGAGGGGCCCCTATGGCCCCCCATGAAGGAGATGGAGGAGAAATAGGAGGAGAAACAGGAGGAGCAGGAGGAGGAGGAGGAGGTGTGGGAGCAGGTGAAGGAAAGGAAGGAGGAAGATGAGGTGGAGAATGAGGAGAGAGGAGGTAGAGGATGGGGGTAAGAGGAGGAGGAGGAGGAGTGGGAGGAGGAGAAGTGGGAGGAGGAGGAGGGGAGGAGGGGAAGGAGGAAGAGGAGAAGGAGGAGGAGGGGAGGAAGGCGAGGAGTGGAGGAGGAGAAGAGGAGAGGAGGAAGGAGAGAGGAGGAGGAGGGAGGAGGGAAGAAGGAGAGGAGAGGGAGAGGAGGAGGAGAGGGAGGGGGAGGGGGAAGGGAGAAGAAGCAGGAGCAGCGCAGGAGGAGGGAAGAGGGGAAGGGAGGGGAGGAAGAGAGAGGAGGAGGGGCGAGGAAGAGGAGGAACAGGAGGAGGAAGAGCAGGAGGAGGAGCAGCAGGAGGAACAAGAAAAGGAGGAGGCAGAGGAAGAGGAGCAGGAGGAGGAGGAGGAGCAGGAACAGAAGGAACAGGAAGAGGAGGAGGCAGAGGAAGAGGAGCAGGTGGGAGAAGAGGAGCAGGAGGGAAAGAGGAGCCGGAGGGAGGAGAGGAGTGAGAGGGAGGAGAGGAGCGGGAGGGGGCAGAGGGGAAGGAGGAGGAGGAGGAGGAGGAGGAGGAGGAGGAGGAGGAGAGGAAAGCCACGCGGAGCAAGTGCGGGTCTGCGCAGTCTCCAGTCTCTAGCACACCGCCGGACGCCCCGCACACGAACGGAAGGAGCTTCCGCGCCCTGCCGCACATGGAGCCACACCTGACCCGGACGCCAAGGCGGGTTTGAGCCCAAGTGCGGGGCGGGAGGCCGGCGCGGGGACTGGCCCGGGCGAGGCTCTGGCGCCAGGGCCGCCCGCCACGGCCGCGTCACACGGACCCGGAGCCGAGCGGGAGCCCAGAGGCCGAAGCACGCGTGGGACGTCGGCTCGTTCCACCAGGGCGCCAGGACACTCGCTGGGGAAGGCCGTCCGGGGAAGCCGACACCCTGGTGCGCACGGGAGGCCCGGCCTCCCGCAGGCCGCAGTGGGAGCGGCGCAGACTCGAAGGCTGGAATGAGAACGTGAAGCTGCGGGGAGAAGCGCGGGGCGCGTGTGGCCGGCGTGGGCGTCCGCGTCTGCCCACGGCCCCTCCGGCCCGCCACGGCAGCGACACACAGCGACGGGTTCCGTCAAGCTGGACGCCCTCTCAGCCACCAGCAGCGTGCAGAGACGGCCTGCGGGCGCGAGGACGGCACCTGCCCACCCGCACCTGGGACGCGCGACGCGGAAGGAAGCGAACTCACAGGCAAGAAAGCGGACAGCCCGAAGAAACATGGGTGCGGGGTCCGATCGCATCCGCACGCTTCCACAAGGGAGACCTGAAAGCGGCCAGCGGGCGTGAAAAAGGGCTCGGCACCACCGACCGGCAGGGAGAGTCAGACTAGAGCCCAAAGGAGAGGCCCCGGCCTCTGTCAGAACGGCGGCCATCCAAGGGCAAAAGACAGCGGGCGAGGCGCGGGACGCGGAGGGCGGGACGCGGGGCGGGACGCGGAGGGCGGGACGCGAGGCGGGACGCAGGGCGGGACGCGGGACGGAGGGGGGGGGCAGGACGCCAGTCGCGCAGCCACCGCGCAAACCGCGTGCAGCTCCTCGGCAGCTGCAGTCAGAGCTGCAGCCCACAGCCGGGCGTGCCCAGCGGGGAGGGATCGCCGTTTAGGGAGCGCCTGCCCCCACGTTCGCGGCAGCGCGTGCCCACCAGCCCGGGCGCAGAACCAGCCTGCGCGCCCATCCGCGGGCAGACGGACGAGGAAGAGCAGCGCGTGCGCACAGCGGAAGAGTACTCAGCCTCGAGAAAGAACAAAATCCCGTCATTTGCAAGGATACAGATGAGCCGGAAGGATGCTTCCGCAAAGCGAAACAGGCCAGTCGCAGAAAGAGAAGCACGGCGCGTTCTCTCCTGCGGGCCAGGCTCCGGGCGCAGAGAGCGGCCCGCGGCCGCCAGGGGCTGGGGTGGGGCGGGAGCTGCCGGTCGGGGTGCGGGGCCTCGGGGAGCCTCGGGGAGACAGGAGGAGCGCGTGCAGGGAGC